TTTCGTTAAATAAAAAGTAATTCGAAATTTTGATTATGTAATAATTTGTAAAATTAACTATTTATCGATGATATATTATGGTAATTAAAAACGTAGGTACATAAGTATGGTTTACAAAAAATGAGTTTTTTTTGTCTAAAAAAAAATACCTGACAAGAAAAAAAAAAAATCTATACAAGAATAAGCATTAGGTAGTTATGGTCCCTTATAAGGACATCGAGTAATAAGATTCAGGAAAGGTGAGTAATTAAAAGGGAAACCACAAAAACCATAAATTGATAAAATAAGTAAAAATACATAAATTGATAAAAGAAAAAAAAAGCCATGGCCCAAAAAAAAAAAAAGAAATTTACACGTGCTAAATTCTTGTTTGCCATTTCTTCCATCTGAAAGAATAAACAATAAGGATCTTAATGGTTACTCAGTAATCCAATGACTTCCTTTTTTTATATATTTGTCTGCTAATATACCAAGATCTTTCATAACAAACCGACAAAGAACATTTCCAAAGTAATCCGAAAATTTATATAGTCGTGTAACAATCTTAGAATGATTAGTATTATAAGGAGCTTTCATGGAGCAAAAATGACGAATGTACTTTTCTATTTTAAAAAGTTATTAATGAAGAATGAAGAAATTTAATTAAAAAAAGTTAATCAAGGATTAAAGACGATATTTGAATATAGTACTAACCTACAACATCGACATTCTGAAATACTTTTAACAAAACATCAACATATTCGTTGGCTTCCTCACTACGAATTGTTGCATTGCTTATACCCATTTTATCAAGGCCACGTGACAATTTTGAGCCCCAATTCATGAGTGAACTTGTACTCTGACGACCTTTTCCATTTGTTGTCTCAACATAACTCAATTTCCTGGCGAGAGAATTTTGAAGACCCTCAATTATAGGTTCTATACCTTCCAATACCTATTAATGAATTTTAAATGAAAAGTTAACTAATGAAATAATTATAGTATAGAAAATATACATAATTTAATATTAACCTTCACTAGCACATCCATATCATCAACTGATGTCTTTGATAGTCTTACTAAACAATTAAGAACAACATCACAACTAGAAACTTTAGCATCAATAGCGGTCAATTTTGCATGTCCTTGTAACCATAAATTTCTGGGAATATATAATTTTTGAGTCAGATAACCTCCAGTTGTCATAGTACGTTCTAACAATCTCATAAGCCAGAAAGGTTTCAAATGCACATCATTAGGTGGAAGTTCAGATATTCCGGAATTAGTTATTAAAGGGGTATCAGTATCTTCATCATAAATTAATGGGTTAGGATAAGGGTTCACAAGACAACTAGCATAACCAGAATCAACGGTTCTAGTAGAAAATACTGGAGAGTCACTTCGGAATGTGGAACTAGGAGGAGCAAGTCCAGGACTACCTAATGGTGTTGAGATGAAACTAAGACTATTCGTCCAAGGAGTACCAGGAGTTCCCGGTGATGGTGACGAATGTGATTGATTGAAGAAGCGTGAGGTAGTATTTTTTTTAGGAGCATTCCCAGGATTCGAAATAGTCCTTCGTGGAGTTTTGCGTGAAAAATTCGGAGAATCAAGTATGGGGCTATTATTTGAAGGAATATTCCCAGTTATGATACGAGAATTATTTTGTTGTGCTAGAGGAAGGGGAGTGGGACGTCTAGTATTTGGTAACGCTTTATTAAATAGTTTTTCAATAGATGATTGAGTTATTGGCGGAGAGGAGGGAGTAACTGATTCAGTAGAAGTAGATATTTCAGAAGCCTTGTCATCTTCATCATCAGATTTTGATCGTGGTAATGGGACAGAGGAACTCATCGAAGAAGGTGAGACCTTCGGCGATATAACCTTTTTTTCTAGTATTGATGTATTCTGAGGAGAAGAAGATGGTAAACTTGGAGTATGAAAGGCGGGAACAACACCATCAGAACGAAGGTTAGGGCTGGTACTTGAGGATGTTGGAGGAGCAATTTTTGGAGGAGGAGGAGGGGTAAAAATTCGAGCAGAGCTAGATGATATAAGTTTTTCAGTTTCTGATAAAGATATAGATTCTTTAATGGTTAAAGATGGTGAAGAAGAATCTTTTTGAAATGACTCTTGAGATAATGCGGATGGAGGTGAGATCGAAGAAGATGAAGATTTTATTGAAGAATCTTGATTTATATCTGATAAATATGTATCATATTTAGTATCAGAAATTTCAAAATTTTGGGCGTCAGAGCAATTTGCGCTGGAATCAAAGTCATCAGAACTAAAATCAACATCATCCGAACTTGTAACTGATTCAGCAATATCACTAGCGTCAGTAATAGATTTTGTGCCATTAGCGGTGATTTCATATAGTGATTTCGATGAGGTCCATGATTTAGTAGTCGAAGTAGAAAAAGTTGACTTGTGCGATAGGACCGATAATCGCTTTGGCCGTGCTATGTAATCACCATTTTTAAAATTATCTTTCGAGTTAACATGATAATCTATTCCATTTTTCATACCGCCATTTGCTCGAATTGAAGAGTCTGTTCTTACATTAGCATTTGGTGTTGACGTATTTTCGTTATATTGTATTGAGGAATTTTGATCTATTAGGTCGTCATTACTTATAGATTTTTGTCCATTAGAACCTGTCATACGATTGGAAGTAATATCGATAGGTGATGAATTATTAGAATATTGTGAAGTGACATTATTCAGTATATATTCACTTATGTCCGGCTCATTATCTACGTTACTAGCATCATCATCTTCAGTTTCAAGAACTATGGTCGACAGTAAACGTATCCGATCAGCGTACGTGTCGTGCTATTTAGATATACGGTTTTTTAAAAACATTAATTTTAAATTACAAGTTATATATTATCACTAATTATTGATGATCTGCTGACTTTTAATTTGTTATCACCATCATTCCTTTTTTTTTTTTTTTTTTAATTCATAAATTACACTTATTAATTAAACAATAAATTGGACTTACGATAAGTTGTAACCTCCGGCGATCGGCCTCGTTCGCAGCATTACCTATAACTTGTGATAACAATTCAACTGTTTCTTTATAAGCTTCAAGTGCAGCTGGAACATTGTTCGCCTCATCAAATTGAACAGCTTTCTGAGCTTTTTGAAGCGCGACCGTTAATATAGATTTAGATTGTGTTCGAGGTGAGGGCGGATTTCTTTGTATTGAAATCGGAGTTATTGGGTCGTCAGCTTTTTCGCTATTCATGTAGCCCAATGTTGATGGAGAAGGAGTGAGATGATGGGAAGTTGTATTCGTAGCCATGGTAAATAGATTATGAGTTAATAATAATAAATATTAAAAAAATAAAGATTGTTTGCGTATTTTAAGGAATTAGGAAAGGAGAGAAAAGAAGGAATAAGGGGTCTTATGTCGTTTTGTTTCAATGTTTAGGGTATCTATCTTTTGCTGGAACCTCGTTTCGATAGAAATACGAGGTATTTGTTAGCAACCATATGATAGCTAAGGAGCGTTGGGCGCAGTCTAAAGAACAAGGATTAAAAAATTAAAGTGGTTGTCGAAAGAAAGCCCTAATGTGTAAAAAAATAAGGTAGATCCTTGACAAGGAAATTTTAAAACATGATAATGTTACTATAGAGGGAAAAAGTTATGCTAAGAATGCATCCAAACGAAGTTTGCAAGGTTATGTGTTGCAAAGGGAGGACACAAGTAAACTTTGAACAAAATAACCGTAATTGATACATGCAAAAGTAGCAACAATGTCTATTAGATACGAAAAACGAATTACGAAATTAACGAATTGCAAAACAAATAGGCATTCTATCACAGCACATACGTGCATTTCTTCTTTTGGCAGTTTAGAGTAGTTCAAGTAATTAATAGGTTACACGAAAATTTGACCTCAAACATTTCTGTACCCGCATATTAAAAATGTTAAGATCCCTTTTGCAATTCTCTGAACTACTTCTCTTCTATGATATATATAATATTTCGCCCCTATTCTGCTTGGTTGTAAAAAAAAAAAAAAAAGGAAACTCCCGCCACGTTATTAAGTTCGACTCTCTAGAACTTATGACAAATATTAACGTAAATTATGCAAATATTATCTTCTATTAAGTTGATTGGTACAAAAGTCTTTATACTTAAATTGGTTTTCATTGATAACCAATTACATATTGTTTGTTTATTCGCATTTATCGTTATATTATGCTTATTATTCACTTCCATAACTTCATGTCACACGATGCGACAGCAGTAAAACATAGCATATATTTACTTTTCGTACAAACGTAATTCAAAAATATTTGTACACTATTTGGAGATATGTGATATATATTGTCCTTCATTTATTTCATTTCGTGTTTATATAAGTTATAATAAGTTATGTACGTACACAGTACTCACTTATCATACACAAAGAAACGTTCATCTTATTAAAAATTTCTTAAAATACTGTATCTTTGTATCTTTGTGTATTATTTAGTATATAGTGGGCTATTAATCTATGTGAAACCCTAATTTAAATATAATTTACGTATAAAACTAATACCTATCTATATACAGTGTTGTACGCGGACGTTGTCCCGTCAAAATTGCGCGGACACGGACAGTTCCGGTTTCCCATGTCATATGGTTTATCGAATAGCCTGATTGGCTAACACGACTGTTCTTATTATAATTTTAATTGTCCGGGACAAAAAAATATTGGCGGACATGTTCGGGACGTTCCGTCCCGAACTGTCCGCTATTCACGTCCGTATCCTATGACAATACTGCTTCAAATAAATTTACTATATATATGAAGTTGAATTAAACAAATTTTTTTGAAACTTTAAACAAAAATATTTTAACAAAAACTTTATCAAATTAATAAAAATTTTTTTAATTAAATTTAATTAAATAAAAACAATTTGCTTGATTTTTATTAATCTATTTTTATAAATTATATTATTAAATAAAAACAGAAACTTTTATTTTTTAATTTGTAAAGTAAACAAATTTGTTTGTTAGTTTTTTTAATATTTTTTATAATTGAATAAATTGTTTTTTTAATAAAGGCAGTTTACTATATCAAGCAGATTTTATTAGTTTAATATATAAGGTCATCTATTGACAATCTCCTATAGTTTGTAATTACATGAAAAGTGTACAACCTACTATATATACAACTTTAATCATTGTCTAATTTAAGTAGTTCACTATACAGGTAGATCATTTGTTTGGTTCTACACAAGCTGCTATACCTATAACCTACTTGTGAGTTATCTATTTAAATACTCTGTTTATCTAACCTATACTAGAATTAACTAACATCACTATAACACTTAACTGCTTAAGCCAGCTAGCTTGTTGTAGATCTATTTACCTAACTCAGCTTAAGTCTTCTCTGGATACATATTATTCAACATATTGTAGTATGCAGAGCTCTAGTTAACCTTATAAGTAATCTTACTAGAGTAGTCTGTACCTATTTCATAGATTTATTTAGCTTAGACTATTGAACCTAGCTACTGTACAAAAAATATACAGATTATCCTTGATTTTGATTAGCTAATAGCTGTAGATCTGCAAAATTTTGGTCTGAATTATATCATTGTTTACTCAATTCTGACCAGAATTAACTTTTTAACTTTTTCATTTTAAAAATATAAATTTTTAAAAAAATAGGTTCGTGCTATATTAAAATCAGCTCAGGAACAATTTTCACTTAATATGTAGTAGTGATTTTATTAGTAAAATTTTAAGTAATTCTGGTCAAAATTTTTGATCATTACTCTTAACCAATTAAAATTAAGGATCATCTACATATTTTTATGCAGCAGCTAGGTTTAATACTTAGATCCTTGCAGATGTTCATATAATCTTAGTTTCTACTGTAGCTCTCCACTAGTTTTCTATATTTTATTATCTCAGATATTTTACAAAGCAAATCCTCCTAATCCAATTAGCCACTAAGCCAAGTTGGTGTTACTGATCCTCTCTATAGAACAGATTTATGTATACTCAACTTAATCTGCATCTTTTGATAATAGTTTCTTTTCTGAATTAAACGTTAGCTGGTATGACTGTTGAAAGCTGTACTATTTCATCAACTTGAGATTTTTACCATATAGGTTCTCTGCTTGTAGATCCTATCAAGATTTATTTATATAATGTTATGCTCTCTAAACATTTTATCATACTTCTAATATTCGAATAATATTAGTACAACATGATTTATAAAGTTACAAACTCAAAAACAAACAGAGTTTACTGTAAGTTGAGTACAAAGGTCTGAGTAATTATTCAAATTTGTCAACAGTAGAATTTGAACCCCAAACCTCTTACATAGTAGTCTGACAACCTAACTACTACACTAAGATCACCAAACCATAAATTTTTATTAATCTATTTCTATAAATTATATTATCAAATAAAAACAAAAACTTTTATCTTTTAATTTAGTTTTTTTAATATTTTTTATAATTAGATAAAATTTTTTTTTTTTTTTACTTTATACAAATATTATTAGCTAAATCTTTTATTGATATTGATAGTAAGAATATTATATATTGTAAGAGTATAACTAGCTACATATAACTTTAGATTGTCTAATTTAAGTAGTTTATTTGAAGGTTTTATACTAGTTACTATATCTGAAATCTATTTAAAGATTATTTCTTTAAACTTTTTAGTCCTATAATACTTACTTGTATTCTATCTTTATTTTATCAAAGTTTACTTATTTCAGAAATATATAAAAGTTACTCTTAATCTATAAAGAGATTAATTTATTTATTTCAGATACTTGCTTTCTATTTAGTAGAAGAAGATAAACTATATACTAAATTTTTGAAGATATAAATAATTTGGCAAGTAGAATTTTCCTTTTAAAAAACAAGTTTCTGTTTGCAAGTTCTCTAATAAGGTTTTAAAGTTGTTTATAGTAAATATCTAGAGATTCTTTTTAAAAAATCTATTTAAATAAATGCTATAATACAATATTATAATAAGTTTATTCTCTTTAACTATATGTAGCTAGTTTGATTATAGCAATTTTACTCTTAATGCTGTTAATATAAGAAGAGCTAGTTTTGTTTTAGTTTTATTAATTTTTGTATTCAAAGTCTGTTCATAAATTTTTAGAAACTTAAAAGTATATTCTCAATCTAAAAGAGAGTTAATTCCTATAGTAAAATCATCTGTATAAGCTATAAGTTTAAAAAACTGATATCCTAATCTAATATTTTATAAATTATTTTTTAAATTTAATAATAGAGATTTGAAAGCAAATATATAAAGAAAAGATAAGAATAGATCTTTCTGTTTTACTCTTTTTTCTATTTTAAAAGCTTTTGATAGTTCTCTTATTTGAAAATATAAGCTTCTTAATTTGTAAAAAGGTTTTTGGCTAGAAAGATAAACTTCTTATCAAAGTTTATTTTCCTTAGAACTAGTTCTAGAAATTTATGACTCATATGATCAAATACTTTTTGTTGATTTAGAAAAAGTATCTAATATTATTTTGTATTGTCTTGTTAGCTTTTTAAAGTTATTATAATATCTATTATAACATCTAATATTAATTTATTTTTTATGAAACTTTATTGTAGTAGAGAAATTACTTCTTGGCTATTGTATTTAGTCTGTTTGCTAGTATTTTTATAAAAATTTTAGTATCTCTATTTATAAAGAAATCAGTTTTTAGTTATTTAGATTTTCTAAATTTGAAAATTTTTTAAAATAAGTATAATTAGATTTTTACACTAAAATTTAGATAAAAGATCTGAGAATGATACTCAATTAAAAAGATTATAAAATAAAAGAGTAATTGCTTCTTCTGTAAACTTGTAAAACTCATAAGTAAGACTATTAAAACTAGATAATTTGTTATTCAGAAGGCTTTTAATTATATTTATTATTTCTTCTAAAGAGATTTCTTGTATTAGCAATGAGTCCTGTAATCTTGTAACTTGTAGAGCTTCTTTGATAATTTTATTTATAGCAACTAAATTAATTTTTTCATTTTTATAGATTTTTGAATATTTTTCTCTAATATAAATTAGAGTACTATTCTTGTTCTAAGCTATATTCAAAGGATCTTTAATCTCATTAAGAGCTAAATAAGATTTTCTAGATTTGTATTTTGAAAAAAAATATTTAGTCAATTTTTCTCCTTACTCTATTTTGCTTTAGAGTAGAGTTGCTATTTTTTTGCTAGAAGAATAAATTTTTCTTGTAGTTTGAAATTAAGATTGTCTGCTTAGACAGAGAGATAAATATTTGTAGAGTTTTAGCTAGCTTTTTATTTATCTGAGTAATTT